ACCAAAACTACGCTAACATAGACTATATATATGTACTACTCTCTTAGTAAAGATAAATGCTACAGATGTAATAACCTATCTCCCTTTCCCGTATTCTAGAGTTGCCCCCCATCATTGCACTTCAATGAAACACACTGACAGACTACGGATATAGAACGATTCACAGGTGTTAGACCTGTCAGCAGTTTAACAGACAACCTTACTTTATGATATCCTTATGGCAACATGTTATAACCCGTCCACGTTGTCCATACACCCTTAGGTATAACGCTTACATAACTTGGGCAACTCCGAGAAGGAACCTTTTTAGTGACACCCTGTGAACTGTTTGTTTGTATATTATTAAAATCATATGTAATACACATATCAGTGATATTTGCATCCTTAAAAATATTCTGGTTGTACTTTGTACATGTTCCGGAAATTCCGTACCGCTGCCGTTTTCTATAGTTCAATCTCTTTTGTTTGAAGGCGACGGATACATATTCGTTCTCATACAAGATACAAAATACCAGAAACTTTATTTAATGTCGCAAACAGGTAAACAAGGAACATTAGCTCTTGAGAGCTATTATTGCGATAAACATATGTAAAATAACAATAAAATAATATATTACAAGTAAAGGGATATAATCACATATATTAATAAAAAGCAGTAATAATTACCACAGAAAAACAAAGTATCCATATCCCAGGTTTCTAAGTGATTGGTATTCTCCCACCTACGAAGGCCCCCGGAATATGACCCTTTTCAAACAATAAATTTATAAAAATAGTGTTAATATAAGAAAAGCATTAAATGTGATCACAGATTAGTAGTATTCAAAATACGCATAAACAGAATGCGATACGCATAAACAGAATGACGATACGCATATACAGAATGACGATACGCATAAACAGAAAGCGGATACTCATAAACAGAATGCGGATACACATATACAGAATACGGATACGCATATACAGAATGACGATACGCATAAACAGAATGACGATACGCATATACAGAATGCGGATACTCATATACAGAATACGGATACGCATATACAGAATAAGGATACACATAAACAGAATGACGATACGCATATACAGAATGACGATACACATATACAGAATAAGGATACGCATATACAGAATGACGATACGCATAAACAGAATGACGATACGCATAAACAGAATGCGGATACTCATATACAGAATACGGATACGCATATACAGAATGCGGATACTCATATACAGAATGCGGATACTCATATACATAATACGGATACGCATATACAGAATAAGGATACGCATAAACAGAATGACGATACGCATATACAGAATGACGATACGCATATACAGAATGCGGATACTCATATACAGAATACGGATACGCATATACAGAATAAGGATACACATAAACAGAATGACGATACGCATATACAGAATGACGATACGCATATACAGAATGCGGATACGCATATACAGAATGCGGATACTCATATACTGAATACGGATACGCATATACAGAATAAGGATACACATATACAGAATAAGGATACGCATATACAGAATGACGATACGCATAAACAGAATGACGATACGCATAAACAGAATGCGGATACTCATATACAGAATACGGATACGCATATACAGAATGCGGATACTCATATACAGAATGCGGATACGCATATACAGAATGCGGATACGCATATACAGAATGCGGATACTCATATACTGAATACGGATACGCATATACAGAATGACGATACACATATACAGAATAAGGATACGCATATACAGAATGACGATACGCATAAACAGAATGACGATACGCATAAACAGAATGCGGATACTCATATACAGAATACGGATACGCATATACAGAATGCGGATACGCATATACAGAATGCGGATACTCATATACAGAATACGGATACGCATATACAGAATAAGGATACACATAAACAGAATGAGGATACGCATATACAGAATGACGATACACATATACAGAATAAGGATACGCATATACAGAATGACGATACGCATAAACAGAATGACGATACGCATAAACAGAATGCGGATACTCATATACAGAATACGGATACGCATATACAGAATGCGGATACTCATATACAGAATGCGGATACTCATATACATAATACGGATACGCATATACAGAATAAGGATACGCATAAACAGAATGACGATACGCATATACAGAATGACGATACGCATATACAGAATGCGGATACTCATATACAGAATACGGATACGCATATACAGAATAAGGATACACATAAACAGAATGACGATACGCATATACAGAATGACGATACGCATATACAGAATGCGGATACGCATATACAGAATGCGGATACTCATATACTGAATACGGATACGCATATACAGAATAAGGATACACATATACAGAATGAGGATACGCATATACAGAATGACGATACGCATAAACAGAATGACGATACGCATATACAGAATGCGGATACTCATATACAGAATACGGATACGCATATACAGAATAAGGATACACATATACAGAATGAGGATACGCATATACAGAATGACGATACGCATAAACAGAATGACGATACGCATAAACAGAATGACGATAAGCATAAACAGAATGCGGATACTCATATATAGAATGAGGATACATATACAGAATACGGATACGCATATACAGAATGACGATACGCATAAACAGAATGACGATACGCATAAACAGAATGACGATAAGCATAAACAGAATGCGGATACTCATATATAGAATGAGGATACTCATACAGAATACGGATACGCATATACAGAATGACGATACGCATAAACAGAATGACGATACGCATAAACAGAATGACGATACGCATAAACAGAATGCGGATACTCATATACAGAATACGGATACGCATATACAGAATGCGGATACGCATATACAGAATGCGGATACTCATATACAGAATACGGATACGCATATACAGAATAAGGATACACATAAACAGAATGACGATACGCATATACAGAATGACGATACGCATATACAGAATGCGGATACGCATATACAGAATGCGGATACTCATATACTGAATACGGATACGCATATACAGAATAAGGATACACATATACAGAATAAGGATACGCATATACAGAATGACGATACGCATAAACAGAATGACGATACGCATAAACAGAATGCGGATACTCATATACAGAATACGGATACGCATATACAGAATGCGGATACTCATATACAGAATGCGGATACTCATATACATAATACGGATACGCATATACAGAATAAGGATACGCATAAACAGAATGACGATACGCATATACAGAATAACGATACGCATATACAGAATGCGGATACTCATATACAGAATACGGATACGCATATATAGAATGACGATACGCATAAACAGAATGACGATACGCATAAACAGAATGCGGATACTCATATACAGAATACGGATACGCATATACAGAATACGGATACGCATATACAGAATAAGGATACGCATAAACAGAATGACGATACGCATATACAGAATAAGGATACGCATATACAGAATGCGGATACTCATATACAGAATACGGATACGCATGTACAGAATGCGGATACTCATAAACAGAATACGGATACGCATATACAGAATGATGTTATGCATAAACAGAATAAAAATACGCATATACAGAGTGATGCTACGCATATACAAAATGATGACACGCATATACAGAATGCGAATACTCATATGCAGAATGCGATCCGCATAAACAGGATAAGGATACGCATATACAGAATGAGGATATGCATATACAGAATGCAGTAATCATATAGAGAATGATGATACGCATATACAGAATGAGGATATGCATATACAGAATGCAGATACTCATATACAGATTGATGATACACATATACAGAATGCGGACAGTATGCAGATACGCAAATACAAAATAAGGATACGCATATACAGAATGCGGATACGCATATACAGAATGCGGATATGCATATACAGAATGCAGATACTCATATAGAGAATGATGATACGCATATACAGAATGCGGATATGCATATAGGGAATAAGGATACACATATACTGAATTTGGATACGCATATACAGAAGGTCAAATGTCCAACAAGACATCGAAGTGGATTAAAAACGGTTGTGTCTCTTTGTACAAACGGAAGAGAATGGGCTACGCTTTATAACACCTGAGAGGATACGCATATACATAATTCGGATACGCATATACAGAATGCGGATACGCATATACAGAATGCAGGTACCCATATAAAGAATACGGACACTCATATACAGAATACGAAAACGCATATACAGAATGCAGATACGCATAAACAGAATGAGGATACGCATATACAGAATGCGAAAACGCATATACAGAATGTGGATACGCATATACGGAATGAGGATACGCATATACAGAATGAATATGCACATAAATAGAATGCGGATACGCATATACAGAATGAATATGCACATATACAGAATGCGGATACGCATATACGGAATGCGGATACGAATATACAGAATGAGGAAACGCATATACAGAATGAATATGCACATAAACAGAATGTGGATACGCATATACAGAATGAGGATTCGCATATACGGAATGAGGAAACGCATGTACGGAATGAGGATACGCATATACAGACTGAGGATACGCATATACAGAATGAGGATACGCATATACAGAATGCAGATACGCATAAACAGAATGAGGATACGCATATACAGAATGCGAAAACGCATATACAGAATGTGGATACGCATATACGGAATGAGGATACGCATATACAGAATGAATATGCACATAAACAGAATGAGGTTACGCATATACAGAATGCGGATACGCATATACGGAATGAATATTCACATATACAGAATGCGGGTACGCATATACGGAATGCGGATACGAATATACAGAATGAGGAAACGCATATACAGAATGAATATGCATATAAACAGAATGCGGATATGCATATACAGAATGCGGATACGCATATACGGAATGAGGAAACGCATATACGGAATGAGGATACGCATATACAGAATGCGGATACGCATATACAGAATGCGGATACGCATATACGGAATGAGGATACGCATATACGGAATGAGGATATGCATATACAGAATGAGGATACGCATATACAGAATGAATATGCACATAAACAGAATGCGGAAACGCATATACAGAATGAATATGCACATATACAGAATGCGGATACGCATATACGGAATACGGATACGCATATACGGAATGATGATACGCATATACGGAATGAGGAAATACATATACGGAATGAGGATACGCATATACAGAATGAGGATACGCATATACAGAATGCGAAAACGCATATACAGAATGTGGATACGCATATACGGAATGAGGATACGCATATACAGAATGAATATGCACATAAACAGAATGAGGTTACGCATATACAGAATGCGGATACGCATATACAGAATGAATATTCACATATACAGAATGCGGGTACGCATATACGGAATGCGGATACGAATATACAGAATGAGGAAACGCATATACAGAATGAATATGCATATAAACAGAATGCGGATATGCATATACAGAATGCGGATACGCATATACGGAATGAGGAAACGCATATACGGAATGAGGATACGCATATACAGAATGCGGATACGCATATACAGAATGCGGATACGCATATACGGAATGAGGATACGCATATACGGAATGAGGATATGCATATACAGAATGAGGATACGCATATACAGAATGAATATGCACATAAACAGAATGCGGAAACGCATATACAGAATGAATATGCACATATACAGAATGCGGATACGCATATACGGAATACGGATACGCATATACGGAATGATGATACGCATATACGGAATGAGGAAATACATATACGGAATGAGGATACGCATATACAGAATGAGGATACGCATATACAGAATGCGAAAACGCATATACAGAATGTGGATACGCATATACGGAATGAGGATACGCATATACAGAATGAATATGCACATAAACAGAATGAGGTTACGCATATACAGAATGCGGATACGCATATACAGAATGAATATTCACATATACAGAATGCGGGTACGCATATACGGAATGCGGATACGAATATACAGAATGAGGAAACGCATATACAGAATGAATATGCATATAAACAGAATGCGGATATGCATATACAGAATGCGGATACGCATATACGGAATGAGGAAACGCATATACGGAATGAGGATACGCATATACAGAATGCGGATACGCATATACAGAATGCGGATACGCATATACGGAATGAGGATACGCATATACGGAATGAGGATATGCATATACAGAATGAGGATACGCATATACAGAATGAATATGCACATAAACAGAATGCGGAAACGCATATACAGAATGAATATGCACATATACAGAATGCGGATACGCATATACGGAATACGGATACGCATATACGGAATGATGATACGCATATACGGAATGAGGAAATACATATACGGAATGAGGATACGCATATACAGAATGAGGATACGCATATACAGAATGCGAAAACGCATATACAGAATGTGGATACGCATATACGGAATGAGGATACGCATATACAGAATGAATATGCACATAAACAGAATGAGGTTACGCATATACAGAATGCGGATACGCATATACAGAATGAATATTCACATATACAGAATGCGGGTACGCATATACGGAATGCGGATACGAATATACAGAATGAGGAAACGCATATACAGAATGAATATGCATATAAACAGAATGCGGATATGCATATACAGAATGCGGATACGCATATACGGAATGAGGAAACGCATATACGGAATGAGGATACGCATATACAGAATGCGGATACGCATATACAGAATGCGGATACGCATATACAGAATGAGGATACGCATATACGGAATGAGGATATGCATATACAGAATGATGTTATGCATATACAAAATGAGGAAACGCATATACAGAATGAATATGCACATAAACAGAATGCGGATACGCATATACAGAATGCGGATACGCATATACGGAATGAGGATACGCATATACGGAATGAGGATATGCATATACGGAATGAGGATACGCATATACAGAATGCGGATATGCATATACGGAATGAGGATACGCATATACAGAATGCGGATACGCATATACGGAATGAGGATACGCATATACAGAATGAATATGCACATAAACAGAATGCGGAAACGCATATACAGAATGAATATGCACATATACAGAATGCGGATACGCATATACGAAATGCGGATACGCATATACGGAATGAGGATACGCATATACGGAATGAGGAAGCGCATATACAGAATGTGGTTACGCTTATACAGATTGATGATACGCATTTACAGAATGCCGACAGAATGCGAATACGCAAATGCAGAATAAGGATATGAATGTACAGAATGCGGATGTGCATATACAGAATGAGGATATGCATAAACAGAATACAGATACTCATATAGAGAATGATGATACACATATACTGAATGAGGATACGCATATACAGAAAGTCAAATGTCCAACAAGATATCGAAATGGATTTAAAACGGTTGTTTCTCTGTGTACAAACGGAAGGGAATGGGCTACGCTTTAAAAACACATGAGAGTTGCGTTTATTGTTACAAATGTGGCCAGAACATTTATGAAGGGTACGTACCCTGAGCAATACCAATAAAATGCGGACGTGTGAACGTGTATAATTAATAGATATATCTTGTTTTAGGAATTCAAATCACGTGTTTCTTGTATAAGCTGCCTTTTGTGAAACGTAAGTTATTTTTACTATCATCCTACAGGATTTGTAGAAATAAACTTGATACAAACCTATATATAACAGGACAGCCGTCGAATTTGATCTTAACTTTTGCTGACACACCATATACTGTACACTAGTTTTAGTTCACTAGAATATGACTGTGACCTGGTTTTCAAGAAAAGATTAATATCTAAATTTAAACACGGTACGTTTAAACGGGGGAATATGAATGTCTTATTTAAATATCCGTATACAAAGCCTCCTTCATTCCCATATCTTCATAATGGAAATGAGTGTGTTTCCATTTAGAAACCAAATATATTTATTAGATATTTTAATTGCATCGGTAAATTTTCTTCACAGTATACATTATTTATATTGAACTATCATGTATGGTTTCCCTCTAACCGTAAACACCCTAAAAGGAAAGAAAACTGCACAAAAACTCCAGTGACTTTTTATACCGATTCTATTCTATGTTTAAGTTGGAAAGGGAGAATTCCACCAATATAGTCATTCGCATGACAAAGATAACTAGTCTTAATTAAAATAAACCCTAAAACGGATGTAATTATTTGGGGAAATCAAATATCAATTAGACATACTGTCAAATGTCCAGCGTCTGATCATACAACAGATATGAAAGTATATTTAACAATATAATATCGACGTCATTGTATATATTCCTATAGTATCTCATGTTTTTTAAATAATTCTAAAATTGCACGGAATAACCTCCCACCTGTAGCATTGAGTTCGTACATGCACAGACAAGCTGATTTGTCGGCGTCACTATACAGCAAGAGTCCCTTTGTGGATCTTATTTGTATAGTATCTGTAATTGGAAGACCAGAGTTTATCTCAATTGTCCTTGTGGAGCTTTAAATACACACTTGTTTAAAGCTCCTATAGTCAATATTCCAACTAGTTCTTTCAGCCTAGTTTTCGCGTTCTTGTGAAACGTGTTATGTAACAGAAGGTTGATAATTTTAACAATTAAGTTTAACACGCAATATCCATGTACACTGAATGTTAACCAGTTTTCGAAACACTGTATTTTGAAAATATTTTCTTCGATTCGAAGAAAGTATAAAACAGTGTGTCGTTGTAATTTGTTATTTTTTCCCCATTCAAATAGCCATAGACATATACCATGTCTTTGATAATTTGCTCTCTCGATTAGATCAGTAACCCTACCGGCTACCCGTTATCAGAACAGTTCCCGTGTTAGATGTAACAGGTGTCGGATTGAGTTTATTAAACTTCCTGGTTGAAAACGAATGCCTAATTTACCTTGACATTTTTCGCCAGTTACCCGGTTCTTGTCAACAGTAAAGGATAACAGAAAGTGAAGTCAATGCCACATGACCTGTGAGTTAGAACACAGACACATGAGTGATGTTAAAGCCCGACATATGGAGTTATAGGTATCTTAAAACAGAAATATATGATATATTCCACATATCTCGATCAGAAGTGGTAGTATATATATTAGGCAAAGGAAAGTCCTTTTATAGCATATCAAGCAGTAGTATTTAATTCACCAGTGTTATCTTCATATTTGTTTAACTCATATCATATCGGGGATATTCCTTTATACGGTTCTATTCTTCTTCTTAATCATAATCTCAGTAATTAACTCTAACAAGTCAGTTAGTTGAAATAAGATTTTATTCATATTCAGAAACAAATATAATCGTTTCAGTAATCAAAGATATGGATGGGCTATCTTTCATAACATCAGATTATTACTAAAATTGAATTAAAGCAAAAACCTATTTGTGATAACTGTTATTTTTGTAATATTTCAAAAAATATACAACCTTCTAAATTAGGAAAAGATCATAAAAAACAGTTAAGTAAAATCCCCTTCCTTATACAATACACAAAAGGCAGTCGATACAATATTCCAGTATTTCTTATATTTGTTAAACGTACACTTCTATGATGTCATTTTCACACATGTTGCAGACTGATTGTTCATTAAAATAGACGTGATCATCATGAGGTTCACACAGCTAACAAGAAGTGGCAGTTAACATAGAATATGATACTTTATCCTGATAGTAAAATTAATGCAAAGTAAATGTATTTTGTTCGCTTGCAATATTGTCACGAATATATTAAACATCATGTTTTATTTGACGACGATTCCACATTGTGAATGTAGAATGCTTAGAAAACCTTAAACTTATATACTGTCTGTCACGATACAGGAAAGCAAAATGATTTCGTTGCCCATTGGATTGTCATTTTGTGAAATCCCCTAACTCGAAAACCCCAAACTTAACATTATTATATACGCCAGGCATCGCCGCTGTCACTAATAGCATGTCCTCTGATGGGTGGTACATGACATAGAAGGATTTGTTGATGTAACTTTGGTCCAGCAAAAGGTCACGACCTCTCTGTCCGTCCCACGATATCTGATGCACCGCGTCACTAAGGCGGTCACAACCCATATATATGCTACCTGACCTGTCAAATGACAAACCTCTTATGCATCCAATATTCCCGATACAATACCGGAATATTTCCGTTCCGTCCATTTTGCAGCACGCTACTTTGTTCTCGTGAGGATAACAAAAACGTCCAAGTTCAATACACACGGCTACATATGAGAATAATCCATTCCGAGGAATACGTTTCTGTTCGGTTTCATCAATTGCCAACATGTATACAGAGTTATCTGTACCCAATAGTATGGTATCGTCATGTACAGCGATACCACTGGGGTATGTTGATCTGGATTGAGGTGGAAAGGGACTAGCACTGACGTACTTCAGATCATCACTATTAATGGTGTACTGCTGTATATCTTTATGTGTCATCACTAGCACTACCTTGTGTTTTGCACTGTAAGCTATATCTGCTGGGTAATTTTGCAACTGATGTGTGTTAATCAGGTTGTACTCGTTGTCATACTTAACGATTTGACCGTTGTTGTTATCAGCCAGCAGTAAACGGCCATCAGGGAGGTACGTCCCACCAGTAAACCTTGTATCTCTCCACAATCCCGCATTTGTTACACTCTTTAATTTCCTGGTCGTAGCTGTCATGGAATCAAAACTTCCTACATCCTCCAAAGGACGACTGATGATCAAGGATTCTAGCATATCAGAGGATGATACTGAATCTTCCAACAACGACACATCTGGTTTCTGTTTGAGTATGTTGATGTTTTCCTCTATCCGAGCCAAAGCATTTTGTACAGGTGCAGATGAAGTTTCATTTTCTATGATGTGTCCTACAGAAAGGATAGAGTTCGCGATCTTTAATATTGCATCTTCTGCTTCCAGTTTGACTTTTGTTTCTTTAAAGTCTTTTATCACGGTCTTTGCTTCATGTACATGGGATGTAATTTGGCTCTTCAGTTGTTCCTGTATGACGAATAGATGTCTAGGAGATGCGCGTTCTGTAATTGCCGTCATGACATTGACACAGTTTTTCCAAGTTGATCTGTTACATTCGAGTTTGTTTTTGAACTCTTAAGAGTATCCGCTTCCTTGAATTCCTCTGAGCATTTACTTTGTACCATGTAACTCATCTAAATTTTTTTGTCTCTGTTATTAAATTATCCATGACAGACAGCGTGTCGGTATACTCTTCAACTTCTGCAATGTGTGAATCTTCTTGTTGTAAGATACTCATTACATCCGTTTTCATATTCTTGAACTCTTGGATAAATGATATTCTGTCCCTGTGCTTTTCTACTCGCTTTGCAATATCATCAAGTGACCTGATATTTTTGCAGCCGTTATGCAAAGTTGGAACACAAAGAGCACAACAAAGTTCCTTGTGATTCAGACAGAATAGTTCTAGCATTGTTTCCGGGTGTTTTGGTCATTCTTCGTTTGAACGACTGTAAGCCAGAACGTTTTGGAACGCATCTTCGTGGTCGACAACTTGGTGTTTCTTTGTATGTCTTACTTTCTTGTGGGCAACACGGCAATCTGTACACATTGCCTCACCACACTCAATACACCACGCATTGGCTGTCTCTGTTTCATTGTCACCAAGACAAACGTCACAGTGTGCTTCGTCGGTATTGTGAGATCTTGAAGCAGATTTGTAAAGCGTGTTAAGTTGAAAACCTTTTGATATATCGGTTGCAGACGCATTTGTATCTGCTACTTTAAATAAAAATCTGCATGCTGGACATTCGAAGTATTTGTCCGAGTCCGATTCTTGTATTCCAGAAGATTCTATATAGGAACAAAGGCACTCTTCACAGGAAGTGTGTTTACATGGTGACGATCTTGGTATGTTGTAAACATTCCAACACAACAAACAATTCAGTGGGTTAGCTCCCGTCACAGCGCTAGATGTAGCCATGTTTGTTGAATGTTTGCTACAAAACGACTGACTACCCCGTCGTATCTAAGACTCGTTGTAGAACAAATGATACATACGTGCTCGTCTAGAAGTCTAGTTTATATTCTAGACCAAACTTTTACCAATGTTTCTTTTCTATGCACATAGAAGTATATGTCATCCTCAAATCAGGTGATGATGCCTTAAATCTCCCTTCGCTTCATGATCATTTCCATGTACAGGTGATTCTACTGCCACTAAGTAGAACTTTTTACCTCAAGCTTATAAACCCACTGCCTGCCGTGTCGACTATGATTTTTGATC